AGCTAACATTATTGTTGACATGCACGTGAGGTGGATTGAAAATGCTAACGACGTTATCGTTGACATAGCATGGATCGGAAATGTTGACGTGGCAATGTCATATCACTTTGATATGCTAATGTGGCTCTTGTTTTCCTTAAAAATACCAACAAACTCCTTATCACCTACTTTAAACCCTAACCTTTGAATATATATATATATATATATAGTTTTTATTTCTTTTATTCTTTTCTTTTCTTTTTCTTTTTTTTTTTTTCTTTTTTTTCCTTTCTCTCGTTTCACCTTCTTCCTTAAGGATCAGCTGTCAATCATCAGATGTCGTTGTTGGTTGCCAGTCGACAATCACCGATCACGATCATTATGTGGCATATCTTGTGACTATCGACCAACGACTGACAACCAGCGATCAATGACAACATTTGGTGACTGGCGATCAGTCCTTAAATTTGAAGGTGAGAAGAGAGAAGAAGAAAAAAAAAAGGAAAAAGAGAAAAAAAAATGAAGAAAAGAAACAAAAGCAATACATAAATAAAGCCAAAGGTTTAGAGTAAGTGATAAAGAGTTTATTGTATTTGTATGAGGTCTTGGATTTGAAACTCAGTAAGCATATAATATTTTTAGAGAAAACAAAGAAAAGACACATGTTGTTCTTTTGTCATGCCATGTGTCACTTTTTGGACAAGCCATGTGACATGACATGAGTGGGTGCTGATGAACACCTCACATGCCATGTCAGCAAATGGGGCCATATCAACACCATGTCAGCAATGACATCAGTTTTATGAAAAGTAATTTTAGAAAGAAAATTTAAGAGAGAGTAAATTAAAGCAATTCTTAAAATTAAAGGGTAAATTTTTACAATTTTGAACAAAAAGATTAAAGTGAAGAAAATACATGAGTATTGGGACTGTTGAGGTATTTTGACCATTAATAAGTCGATAAAATAGTTAGATAATGTTTTAGTGCTTATTTTGCCCAGTTTTTTTTCTTTTTATTTACTTCTTAAAAGTAGAAGTTAGGCCAAATAAGATTTTTGAGATGATTTTAAAAAAAATAACTTTTTTAAAAAAATAAAATTTAAATAAAAGAGCTTAAAGAAAAGTTTCAATAGAAAAGCTTTTTTTTCTTTTTTTTTTAAATATAGCAGCTTTTCAAAGAACAGCACTCTTTCTCAATCAATCTCCTTCTTTTTACAAATCACAAATCATTCCGCTCCAACGCAAAATTGCAATCTCCCTTTCTTCTATCTCTCTTTATAAAGACAACTAAAAAAACAAAAGCCAAGAGACCAACAACTAAACAGCAAAATGTAAAATTTTTTTGTTCTTATAAAGATTAAGAAAAAAGACCCAATATTATAGTTACATTCAAGTACTATTTAGACTTGATATGAAACACATTAAAGTTAAATACGAACACGACACGAATACTATTTGTGTCTTAAATCTGAAATATGTATACATATATATTTAATAACCGTGTAACACGACACGTTTAGATATGTTTGTTAAACGTGTCAATATATGATACAACACGATTAATAACACAATTAACACGTTTAACACATTTAACATGATTAAATAAAAATATTTATATTAAATATAATTTTATTATTTAAATTTAAAATCAATAATTATAAAAACAATTA